ACTATACGGATCAAAAGATCAAGAAATGGGATTTGTTGGTGAATTCTCCAAATATGTATGCGTGGTCCCATGCCTATTATAGACAAATAATACATATTTTTCAAATTACTAGTTATTGAAAATTGTAAAAGTAATGAATTATAATTCGAAAAAGTGTCCAAAATTTGCAAAGTTCAAACCGCCAAACTAATCGCATCCATCTGTCAATCTGCACTACCGGTTCAATCTGCATCCGCCAAATCGGTGAACGGATGTAGATTGATTTTTTCTAATTCGCCTAATTTCAAATGGATGGTGGATGGAATAGCACCTGACCTAATCTAATCCGCGACCACCCCTAATACAAGTATGCCATCAATACAAACTATGAATATAGGCATTGCCTATGTTTAAAATTTTCAAATTGAGGGTGTTTAATAAACACCCCAACAAAGCATAGTGCCGCCAATGTTTATGATCATAGAATATGTTCTCACAATATATTAATATTTAAAAATTATCAACATGTTATTTTGAAATCTTCTCTGACTTGAGACCACTTCGACTTGCGAGTCTCCAGTTCTCCCTGGGCCACACCACAATTTTCTGAAAATTCTGGGCCAAATTGCAATTTTCAGAAGTTCAGGGAATATTCCGTGTATCAACGAAATATTCCGTCCACTGCCCTAACGCCGTCCGCCACTTTAATCTGCCTTCTTTTTACAAAAACTCCGTCTCCAGAATCTGACCGTACGGATGTGTCCGGAATACTCCAAATAGTCGGAAACCACTATTGGATCACCAAAAACGGACTCCAAATGGCTTCGATCTAGCCAAAACATTTTGTACGCCTCAGATCTGCGGCTGTACCTTCGCCGCAAAGCACTGGATCCTTCCTCATGCGGCTGCACCATTGCCGCGTAGCACTGGATCCCTCCCTTGACGCTGACGTGGCAGATGACATGGCACAACCGTGCTGACGTGGTGCTGACCTGGCTGCCACGCGTCGATGACCTGGCTGCTGACGGGGCTGCCACGTGGATGACACGTGGCGCTGATGATGACACGTCGCTGCTGACGTGGGCTCGCATGGCCTGCGCGTGCCGTACACGCGCCATCCCCCACTCGTCTTCTTCCTTGGTCCGCGCGTAGAGCGCGTGAGAGGGACTGGGACCACGCGCCGGTTGCCTTAACGGCGCGTGGTGGCGCGTGGCGAGACTGGAATTCACGCGCCAACTTCTAGGGGCGCGTGACGGCGCGTTCGGCCTCCGTTGGGTGTCTGCTTTATATTTCTGGACTCCTCTTCTCGAGCCCTTGCTCCTGGTATGCTCAAAACCTGATTTTGAGCAACTTGATTTCTGGGCAGTTTCAAACAACACGCTGTTTTTGTTCCGAAACGCCACCAACGAGGCTCTGATACCACTTGTTAGGATCGGGGATCCCGCCCAAGACCTTCCAGAAATTATACCAAGTAGAAAAACACACCCACACAGAAGGAGAAACCATATTTAACGTGGTTCGGCCTTAAAGCCTACGTCCACGGGAGAGTAACCGGTTATCACTATAACAATGGAGAGATTACAGAAAGATTATAATAGGGGAAGAGCTCACACTCTCCTCACTCACCCACTCACCCGTCTCCCTCTCTCACACCGAGA